GAAAGGTTCATTCTCAGAAATATTGGCGAACGTACCAAAGCTTGCTACCTTAACCACAGGAAAAAAAACGTGTTCATAAGACTGCCTTTCGTGGGCGACTCCGATGCCAGGTTGCGATCGCACATCGATCCCAACCCTTAGTGACAGTCATTCGCTAGCTGCGAATGACAGTAATTATCACTCCATGTACATGACCTCTGACTCTGTCCAACTGTACAATTTTCATTTTCTCTGCAAATGTAGTGGCCTGATAAAGGGTTGTTAAAAGAATATTTTTGTCAAATCACTATATGTACCTGACCCCTGACCAATGTCCACACCTTACCCAGATTCCTCCCCTCCCCTGCCCCCCTTCCCCAGCACATAGACCTCTACACGCCCATCTTGCTATGCGGACGGCTTGAAAACGATGAGTTGCAATCAAAGTACACTTATTAACCTCGTCCATCTATACAATTTTAATTATCTCTGCAACTATAATGGCCTATTGAAGAATAGCTGAAAGCATATGTTTGTCCAATCGAATTTTCAAATATTTGAATATTCACAGAACTTAGACAGTCTTATCATTTTCACGAGAGAAGAAGGACAAGAGCAGCCGCTGCCTTTCCTCGATTTCCTCCTCAAGCGACATCTTAACAGTGAAACTGTGGCAACGAGTTACAGCAAGGCAACGGATACCACACAACATCTCAGCCATCACGAAAAAAACCGTTCGGTAGCTCACTAACAAAGCTATGTGAGAAAAGTCTTCAAATTCATGTCGACTTACTGTAGCAGGCCAGAGGAAAAGATCTACCTCCGCGACCAGTTTATGTGGAATCACTACACATGGGCGTTTATAACACCATACCTACGCGTTCGGCCCCGGAGGGCCAAAACCAAAAATACCTCCAAGAAAATGACATGCTCTACCATATAGTAAGAACGTCTCAATTCGATTGAACGCATTGTAGCCGAACTGTTCGACTGAACTTCACACTGGCCTGAAGCTTCTGTGCGTGTCAGTGATGACGATTAAATCTGCCCAGCTCCAAAAAAGCAAGCTCGGAGTAGTGTATAGCATAACATGCATAATAATTTCTTGTAACTATACGGCCCAGACTGAAAGCATTCTTGGATCGCGCATATTCGCACGTAAGATGGCTGTGTAAGGGGCCAGGATTTCAAATTCGCAGGCGTAACGAAAACCATCCAAACGGAAAACAAGACGAAATTAGACTTGGTTGAAGCCTGTTCCTCGCATGAGAGCTCAATAGATCAATGTGTGGATATGGCATTGGGATATAGAAAGCTATGAAGTCATCTGCAGTTGTGTGGGGTTGAACAATGGTTGACTTGGTTCTCCCCCCAGAAGTGTAGCATTTCCTCTTGCTGCTACTACCCCTGCCAATCGACTCCTGCACGAAGTCGAGATAACGGAGTAATAAAAGAATTGTTCTCGTAATTTTTCAGCCTTCTTTGCTTATCTAAATTGTCTTTTTTTGCGACCGTAGCCATTTTTCAAGAGCTGATTCTGATAAAATGGTCTTTAACTGGTTACAAATCACTCGTTGCTACACGGCCTTGATCCAGGGATCGTCACAATTAACAGCCGAACTGCTGCCTAGGTGGCTTGTGTCAATTAATAAGTGAGATAAACATCCTGATGGTTCTTTTATGTAGATAGAGGTATGAAGAACATGAATGTGCCAAATAATTATCTGGATCGACATCTGCTAATTAGGTTAATCTAGCAAATTCTACTTGAGCTATTGAGGCATCGATCGATAATCGTCAACGACTCATTCTTAACGAGTTCATGTTACAAACACTTGTTATTTTTGAGCAAAATTAGACTGTGATTTCTAAGGTGTTTCTTATAGCGCTATACTAGGGACCCACATGCATTGGCATCAGTCTTGTAATCAGTGACTCTTTGTCCAGGACGCTTATTTAATGCTCTCGTACAAGCGGGCGTTGCGTTTTCGTAAGTTAATCAGAGAACGTTATTCAGAGTTGAGTCATGCCGTTTGGAGACTAACGAGAGTCTCAGCACCAAACTTGTTGCGTTAACAAGCGGTTAAACCCATGGTTCTTACATAGGAATGCAGGTCTAAGTGGACTAAATATTCACTCAGGCCCAGGCGAAAACAAATCAGCGACGAGTTTGCACCAGATATTTCCCAGCGTTGTTACCAATACCCAGGAAAAGGACTATGGGCCGTCTAGTATGAAAACAGAGGTGTTTATAAGGGACATTAGGAATTCAGTCTAGCTGTGGGAGTGTGTCCTAACAGTATTTATGTATTCAAAATGTATCAAGGTAAGCTTGATAAATTTTCCATTAATAATTAACCATTACGGAAAGACTTCTGCAATTGCTTTCTGCTCATATTTACAACGAAGTATCCACGAGCGATGTCAAAACGTCAGGCGAATAAAGTGTAGCTCCAGC